AGGCGGCGCGGGAGCTGGATGCGTCCCGTGTGTGAGGGGAGGGCGCGCGGGAGGGTTGAAGCTCGTGTGGGGCAGCGCTCCGCGGCGTGGATGTCTCAGGGGCGGGTGGAGGGCGAGGGAGGCAGCGCAGCGCCTCGGCGAGTGGTTTGCGTTGGAAGGATCTTAAAGCTCGTCTCGTTCCACCCCACCCAGAGGGTTTCTATTTCTTCCTCCGTCGCAGGATTGTGTTGTTCATGCCTATCCACGCGTGCTGGGTTACAACACAAGTGCCACATGTGTTTATGACCTCCGGGTTTAATCAGCTACAGGTCAATTTGCATTAGGTAGCAAGTGCTAAGTTGATGTGAGTCAGGCAGAGAATCATAGGATGGTTTAGGTTGGAAGGGCTTTAAAGCTCATCCCATTCGACCCCTGCCTTGGGCAGGGACACCTTCCACTAGCCCAGGTTGCTCCAAGCCCTATCCAACCTGCCTTTGGTTGGATCTTCACAGGGTAAACCTGTTGGCTTCAGCTCATGGGAGAAGATAGACAGAGTCAATGAATGAGAATCAGGTTGGAAAAGACATCTGAAATCATCAAGTCCAACCTATGACCCAACAGCACCATATCAACCAGATCATGGCACTAAGTGCCACGTCCAGTCCCTCCTTAAACACCTCCTCCAGTCCCTCCTTAAACACCTCCAGGGAGGGCGACTAAGAATTCCTGAACATTATGGTAGGGAATGTGGAATGTGTCACTGCAGAGCTGTGCCCCAGGCAGCCCCAGCTGGGGCCAGGGTGGGTTGAACAGGCTGAGGATCTTCTTACCTGAAAAAACACCTTAGTGCTGTCCATAATCTATTCCCACTGTCACTTACAGGCCATGCAAAAGATGCTCTTAGCCTTGCCCAGATGCAGGAACAGACCTTGCAGCTGGAACAGCAAACTAAGCTTAAGGTATGTTGGAATTCCTCATGTGTTGTACACACATCCCTCCTCAGGCAGCTGCAGGTCTGGGGGGACAGAAAGTGTAATCTCTACTCTGCGGAGAAGTTTTTCTTGTTGCTGTTCAGCAAAAGGGACAGAAAGTGTAATCTCTACTCTGCAGAGAAGTTTTTCTTGTTGCTGTTCTGCAAATAATAGTTATTTGCCTTTAAAAACAAAAGTGATTCTGGAAGGTGAAGCACAAGTTGATTTGGCCTATTCTTGTGCATATTTTATGGCTTTAAAGCTTGCATGTTCTAAGTAGTTTGGTAACTCCTGAAATGTCACCACTGTTTTTAGAGCATAATAAGGGTTTTCTGTAGGAAGCTGTGAAGTGGTTATGTGGAGGAGAGACTTCTGTTTCCCTCATAGAGAAACTTAGGGATTGTTTGAGTGTTGCTTGGTTTGTTGGTTTTTTTAAACATACTGGATTTAATCCTGACATAGCTAATTAGGACATTTCTAACAATCGTATTTTGTGTCATATTTTAGCTTTCTCATGTCATTGGTCATTTCTTAAGGTCACCACTCTGATTACAGGTGGATTTGTTGGCATGTCATTACCAGTAGCATTTTTCTGTGGGATGATCTGTTAAGTTCATTGTGATAATTACCTCTTTGTTTTACCAGGAGTATGAAGCTGCCATAGAACAGCTGAAGAATGAGCAGATTCGGGTACAGGCAGAAGAGAGAAGAAAAACACTCAGTGAAGAAACCAAACAGCATCAAGCAGTAAGGGAATGAGGGGCAATCCCCAGTGAGGGGCTTTATGGGAAGGGCAACAATGCATTAATTAAACCTTTGTGGGGTAAATTGTATCTTGGACAGACATAGATGTGAGGCACTTCAGCCTGAGCCCATTTTCTGCCCTGGCTTTGTCATGTTGAGCTTAAGTTGTAGTTACATGGCAGCTCTGCCTTCTTGAACCTGTGTTGCCAAGCTCTTGAACATCCAAAGGAACTGGTATTAGCAGTTCCTCTCACTGTGTGCTCCTTGAAGTTTTCCTGAAGGACCTTTCAGGGCAGTGTTGAAGGCTTATCAAGTAGCCTGGACAGTAAAGTGGCTCTGAAGTGGCTTTTAACCTTATTTCTTCCAAGTTTGATCTGTTAGACAGGAGAAAATGTCTTAAGAGGAGAAGTGATGCAAATCTGAGAGTTCCCAGAGGCTGTTAGAGCAGTGTTGGTGCTTCCTGGTTTGTTTTAGCACCAGTTAATCAAGTGGCAATAATACCAAAACAGAGAAAATAAAAGCTTGGGTTATGCTAACAGCTCATATCTGGTGACTTGTTAATTGGAGAGCACAGGAAAAGAGAGGATCAATTGATTCTAATCGATTCTCCAGCTTGGGAAGTCAACCCAAACTGCTGATTTGGCACATGCTGCTTTTATCCTGTCAGAGTTTGGACTTTGAACGGGGCTGACCCAGGAAGCAGCAGCACAGTCAGCTGTTCTCTTTGTGGGTTGGCTCCTGAACTCCTGCAGCTCACACAGCATCATTTGAATTCAAAGCAAACCCAACCAGGGTTCACTTCTGAAGGGCCATGAGTGGCTGAGCTGTCCTGTCTGTGTGTTTGGGGCAGAGAATGATGTACAGAGCTCTCCTTGCTGATGGATATGGGCCCTCAGACTACTTCCTGTTGTGTGTAGATCACTTGGGTTTATTTGCCAGTTACAGAGGAAAATTGATGAGGGGAATTCATGAGGAACAAGTAAATCTGTGAGAAACAGAGCCCATCTGACAGGCAGCATATCCTGAGAGTCCTACTGATTGCAATCACCAGTCCATATAATGTGTTTTAGGACATGAAAACCATGTTGTTTCCAGTGAACTAAGTCCTTTCCTGGGCTAAGAAACACTTGCTCTTTGTTTATATATCTGTGACACCTTAAAATGAAGTCAGACTATACAGATTTCTCAGCACAGAGGAGTTCTTGGTGCTGACTGCCTTCAATTTTGCCATGGTCCTATTCAACCTCAGTTGCTGTTTGTGTGGTTTTAGTCATTTTGTTCTGTTGTTCGTTTTTTTCTCCCCTTACCCATTCCAAACCTCCTTTCCCTGCCTAATTTAACTGCCTGATCTGTACTCTGAGCACCACTGCTGTGTGTCTTGCAGCGAGCCCAGTACCAGGACAAGTTGGCACGGCAGCGCTACGATGAGCAGATGAGACAGCAGGTAGGATGGCTTCTTCCTCTGACCCAGCTGGGAGTTAGGTGGGAGCCCTCTGGAGTGAAAGAGATGCTCTGGAGCTGTGCCCTGTCCTGCTGGGACAGATGGCTGAGGCTGGGCACAGTTGCTTTCATCTGTGCTATCTGCTTGGCATCAGTAGTGTCAAATCAAGGGTTGGGAATTAGGACAAAGAAGCAAGGAGAATGGGATTAGGAGTGTGAATCTGGGAGATGGGAGAGTACTGGCTTCTGGAAAGCATTTGTAGTGCTTAAACTTAGACAAATCCCTACTTGATGGAGGTCTTTTAACACATGTTCTGCTGTGATCTGTAGCAACTTGCCAATGAAGAGAACCTGAGGAAGCAGGAGGAGTCTGTGCAGAAGCAGGAGGCCATGAGACGTGGTAAGTCACTTTTCTTAGCTAGTGACAGTGTGTGTGTGTGCACTATGAATTCCTTGTGCTGATCTTTGACTCCTTGTCCATATTGGGTGATGCTCCCCTAATGTCATGTTGGCAAGTAACAGGTAAATCCCAGTAGTGCTAGAACTACCAGTTGCTTCCAGGATTAGTTGTAGAAGTGGCTGCACTCCTAAACATCTGCACATCCAGTTCCTGGATTTCCCAATGGACTATCAGCATCTCCTGATACAGCAACTGAAATTCTGATTTGGCACAGATTTAATCTAAGTCTGGTTTGATCTGATTCTGATTTTACACTGATTTAATCTAAAACAAAACCAGTTTTGAGGAGGGAAGAGAAACAAAATAACTCCTGGGAGGAACAGTTGAATCCGTGTCACCTCATCTCCATACAATGTTTCCTGTAGAAAATAAAACTTGAATAATGAAGTTGGAGTCTGAAACTTGCTGTATTTCTTTCTGTTGGTGTGGAATTGCCAGAATCACTGGGTTTGCAGGACTCCACAGGGACACAAGTCTCAGAAATGTTAAGGCAGTTTGTGTATGACTAAGTGGGATCAGAAAGCTGTTTGCTCTGAGCACAGATGTGCACAGCTGTGCTGTTCCCTCCTTGCTGCCATCTAGTGTGCTCCCAACATCTGTCAGTGTCTGAGGGAAGTATTGCAGCATCCATGCAACAACTCAGTGCTGAAACCCTGTAGCAGAAAATGACTTTACTCTTATAGGAGCCACCTACTCATAGGCACCAAGACAGGAATGTCAAGGTAGCTTGTCTAGCATTTGGGTATTGAGTAGCTCTGTGGTCCAGTCAGGATTCCTTGTGGTAGCACTTTAAGTAGAGGATGCTGACTCTAAAATCCTCATCTCCTCTCCTGGCTTGTTCTTAGGTTTCTCATTTATTCTCCTTTCACATCGATCTAATGTGTCTGTCACAATTCTGTGTGTCCAAAGTAACAGTTTCCAAAATCCCATTTGGGACAGTGTTTTATGGGCAACTCCCTTAAAAGCAGCATATCATAGAACCACAGAATATCCTTAGCTGGAAGGGACCCACAAGGATCAGAGTCCAACCCTGCACAGGACACCCCAACAATCCACCATGTGCCTGGGAGTGTTGTCCAAACACTCCTGGAGCTCTTTCAGGTTTGGGGCTGTTACCACTGCCCTGGGAGCTGTTCAGTGCCCAAACACCTCTGGGGGAACAACCTTGTCCTGATACCCAACCTAACCCTGTTCCAGTGCCCAAACACCTCTTGGGGAAGAATCTTGTCCTTGATCTCCAACCTAACCCTGTTCCAGTGCCCAAACACCTCTTGGGGAAGAATCTTGTCCCTGATCTCCAACCTAACCCTGTTCCAGTATCGTCCTCATGCCTTCCATGTCTTGCTGCTTCCCAGCACAGTTATGTGTCCACCGTGGCTACAGCTCCAGTGGGAATGACTTCACATCCGTCGCAATTACAATGCTGAACTCCAGCAGCAATAAGATCTCTCAATCATCTCCCCAGGTCTTTCTGCCACCTGAAGCTTTCATGGAATCACAGAATAGAATGTCCTGAGCTGCAAGGGTCTCACAAGGATCATCCAGTCCAACTCCAGGCCCTGCACAGGACACCCCAGCAATGCACCCTGTGCCTGAGCATTGGCCAAACACACCTTGAGCTCTGTCAGGCTGTGCCCACTGCCCTGGGGAGCTGTCCAGTGCCCAAACACCTCTGGGGGAAGAAACTTTGTCCTAATATCCAACCTAACCCTCCCTTGACACAAATTCAGACCCTCAGGTGCTGCCCCTGGTCACAGAGGTCAGTGCTGCCCCTTGTGAGGAAGCTGCAGGCAGCGATGAGGTTTCCCCTCATGTCTAGTTCCTCCCTCAGGGTTCCTCCTGCTGACTGGCATTAAACCTGTTGCCCTGTGCTTTGCAGCCACGGTGGAGAGGGAGATGGAGCTGCGGCACAAGAACGAGCTGCTGCGCGTGGAGGCCGAGGCCAGGGCGCGCGCCAAGGCGGAGCGGGAGAACGCAGACATCATCCGCGAGCAGATCCGCCTCAAGGCCGCCGAGCACCGCCAGACCGTCCTCGAGTCCCTCAAGTAGGAGCAGGCCACAGCCTGCCTTGCTTTTCCTGCACTGCTCCCACCTCAGGGAGCACTGTGCCTCCCTCAGAGCATGGATGGAGTGTTGCTCAGCCCCTTGTGCGCTGATCGATAGGAATGAGATTAACAAGGACCTTCTCTTTGTCTTGCTTTGCTGCATTGTCACCTGAGTGTGAACCAGAGAGACTATTTATAGACTTGGGAGTTTTAGGCAGTTTCTCTAATAGATGATTTCAAGCCTTGTCCTCTAAGCTGGAGACTCAATTACTCGGAGAACCTGCAGCTCTTGCTGGTTCTGAACTCATGCCATGAAGGCATAAAGCAGTCTGGCTCCAGAGGGTTGGGAAGCTAGATTGGGAATTTATTAATTGGAGGTCCTTTGAGATTTTGAATTAAATAACATTTTATGGCAGTTCAGCACCAATAATGTATTAAAGAAGTAAATTGATATCATTTTAAGGCCAGATGCTTCTCTGGACTCATTCCCAGATCAGGTGTAGACATCAGATGGTTCTAAATACATTTTCCATGGTTGTGCATGTTTCAGTTCCAAGGTGAGGCCTCAGTTAGCTCTGGCTGCTTCTGGAGAAAATCATTACAAAGTTTTCTTGTAAATTGTTTCAGTTCAGGCTCTGAAATCCCTTTTTCTCCTGCTTGCCTTGCTGTTTGCTCCTCATAGGACAGCTGGGATGCTCTTTGGGGAAGGATTCCGTGCCTTTGTCACAGACTGGGATAAGGTTACAGCCACGGTAAGGTGGTCACATGTCTTGACAACTTCCAGAATGGTCTGTCTGTAAATGTGTGCCAAGCTAACTCCTTCCTTTTATAAACTAAACCGTGGTGGGAACTTGCTGCTCACCTGCTCTCTGCAGTCCTCATTTGAGGAGATCTGTGCTTCAGGTGTTTATTCAGACTCTCATCTTCTCTGTGCAGATAATTCATTTCTCATTGGTCACAAAAGTTCTGGCTTTGATTGCTCCTCAGCATTTCATTTCGAAGGCTCCATCCTCTTTGCAAATGTGTTTCCTGTAAATTTTCAGCTGTCACAAATGATAGATGAAGATTCTGTGGAAAAAGTAGATAAGTCTTTTCCCCAGAGTGTTTCATGCATCGTGATAGCTTGTTTTGGTTTTCTGTTACAATATTGAGGTGCATGATTTTAGGGAATTCAGTATTCCCCTTTTGCATTCATTCTGCCTCTGAGCTGCAATTTCATCCCACCAAGTTAGATGCCAAGGCCTTGCCTGGCTGCTCTCATCCCTGGTGGGTAGAGCACTGTCAGCTCACTGATTAGGGAGTCTGAGGGTGCCATTTTCATCTCCAAAGGAGCACCACTACTCTCTGAAACTTGTAGGCCTTGCAGCACATGATCCAAAACTTGTTTTGCTGCTTATCTTACAGCTTTACATCTAATTTTGGTGCAGCCTAGAGAGCACTTAGAGAGCTGCTAAATAAATTGATTAAATGCCATGCCAACACCTTTTTCACAGGACCAAAGAGCACAGCAGTGGCTTCTTAGGGACATAAAGTTGTTTCTCAGTGTACTGCTTGCAACAAAACTACAGTGAAAATAGGTTTTTGGTGGCATTGGCTGCTTAAAATGGACGTTTTGCTTTAAGCCAGTTACCACTATCTCCTCCCCCCTCTGATTTTATACACACAGGCTGATACAAAAGCCACTTTGCTTGAGACCACTGGGGAGAACAAGACAAGCTTTTTAGTGGATCTTTTTGTCATCTGTACCTGGGCTGGCTGCAGTATTCAGAGCCTTTTGCACATCAGTGCTTGGTGCTTTTAGCAATGTATTCACTTGACCTAGATACTAGTTTCCTGCATTATGGTCATTTTTGCTTCTGACATGCTCTTGTCTTGTGAATTTGGGACATCTAGCTTAAAAAAAAAAAACACGTGTATTTTTGGATAACACAGCTGGAACTCATAATTTTTTGTTGCTTTGAAAAATGTCTGTAAGGTAAGAATTAGTTATGTTATTCCTCTAAATGAGGCCTAGATTTTCAGCTCTTCCTGCCTACTGCAAAGGCTGCTCTTTTCCTACCTCTTGCCATCCAAGTTCTGCTCCAAGTTTTTTGGGTCTGTTGGGTTTTTTTTGGGTGGAATTCACTTTGTTTATTGATCAGAGATTCATTCCTTTGCTAGATGCTTCATGATAACCAGGTAGGCACTGTAATCACACTGGTTTTTACAGCTGTCATGGTCATTGGGTTCTGGTTTTGACACAGAGCTGTCAAGCTTAAAGCTGTTTCTCTGCACCTTGTAACAACATCAGTGAAGTCCAAAAGTCTGAAATACTTACATCAAATCCCTCCAGGCAGAGGTATCAGCTTGTAACTTTGCTTAGCACTGGATGGTGTAAGAGCACATGAGATCATGTCATGGCATCTTGTTTTTAGAGGGAAGCTGCTAAAAATCTGGAGTCTCTTGTGTTCTCAGCCCCTGTATCTGAGCTGAATCAGGTGTGGAGGTCCCTTGTTCTTTGCATCTCAGAGTTCTGAACCCCTCATGCTTCCATCCAGAGCAAAAGTGATGTCACACATTTAAGCAGAGTGGAACAGATGGTGTCTCATGGTTTATTGAACAGTGCCATCCTGGTTGTCCTTGAGGCTTTTGACCTTGCTCTGTACTTGCAGGACAAGTCTACTTCCTTTAAAAGCAGTTGCTGCAGCTTGCTCTGCTGTCTCTCTGGCCTTTCTCTGGTAGGAATTATTGGCATCAGCTTTAAGCTGACTCCTAGGTCTGGAGTCTTTCTGCTTCCCTGGCAAATCGATGGAAATGTCTCATCCTCTGGGGTTTCTGCCTTTAATGCAGTGATGGTAATTCCCAGGGTGGTTTTGGCTTTGTTGCACTTTTTGAATACCTATTTTCCTGTTGTATTGGGTCTGCCATGACTGTCACCTTCAGCAGATGTTCCCTGGTTAGTCCTGTTTATTCCCTGCTGTGCACTGCCTTGGTGGCAGCCACAATCCAGGTGTTTATCTTGGCATCTCTAATTCAGCTTTCATTTTCTGCTGTGGTGAGAGGTAGTCTGGCAAACAGCACCTGCTTGATGTGGCTGTTTGTCTTAATTACTCAACTAGTCTGCAAAGCCCCACACATCTTGAGCAGAGAGCACATACTTCTGCAGACAGGATTATATGCTTTGCTTGTGCTTCCCTCTGCAAGATGCAAGAGCAGTAAATGCCCTAAGAACAAGGAGTATGAGACCTTGACTGTCTGAACAGGGATAAAACATCTTACCAAAAATAAACCCTTCTTGGTCAGCATTTGTCCTGAATCTTAATTCCCCACCATAGGGCGTGCTACACACAACAGTGTTGCTTTGCCAAGTGTTTTTCCTAATCCTTGCTGTTTTTCTTTGCAGGTGGCAGGCCTGACCCTGCTGGCAGTGGGTGTTTACTCTGCCAAAAATGCCACAGCAGTAGCAGGGAGGTACATAGAGGCACGTTTGGGTAAACCTTCCCTGGTGAGAGAGACCTCACGTATCACTGTGCTGGAGGCTCTGAAACATCCCTTCAAGGTAAGGGTTAGCTTTGGGTTTGTGTTCCACTCTGCCAGGAGGATGCCAAACTCCACTTGCAGCTCTGGGAGCTGTCAGTGGGGCTGTGAATAAACAGGCTGTATTAGAGGTAGCAGAGGTGGGCTGAGCTCTCTGGCATTTCGTGTGACCTTTCAGTCCATGTGAGTTAAAGCTGTGATGTTTTCTACATGTGAGTAATTGCATTTGTCCTCTCCAGGTTGGTAAACGTCTTACCAGCAAGGCTCAGGATGCCCTTGAAGGAGTTGTTCTCAGTGTGAGTACTCTATTTTCCTGTCTTGGCCTGTGAAGGATGATTTTAGAATCCAAATGAGAATGCCTGTTTTCCTTAAACTCACTTCAAAAGCTGTAATTCCAGCAGTTTGGGAGACATAGCACCCTAGGGGCACTGAGACCATAAATAAGCTCCTGTGTTCAGTGTGACATGCATTAAGCAGTCTGTTAACCTTTTTTCCTCTGTGAAAAGCAGTTGGAAGTCTTAGTTCAGTCCTTGCTCTGCTGCAGTTTCTCTCTGTAGTCAGCATGTTAAGATTCAGAGCTGCACTTGTCCCATCTGATCTGTAAGGATTACTGACCCTAGATCTGCTTGTAGGCCAGAAAGCCAGTGTAGGCATTTGCCCACCTTGGGAGTGGTTCTTTATTTGCTAATTAGTGCTGCTTCTGTATATTTGCTGCTGAATTGGATTCCTGGATATCAGGCAAATTTAAGAGCTCCTTGAAGCTGCTGAGGGAAAATGTTCCTGCAGGAATAGTTCCCCCCCAGTCCCCACAAACACAGGAGTAAGTATAAACAGGAGTTTATGACTTACAGAACAAATCAGCACTGCAAAAGAGTTGCTTATGTTTTGACATATCCCTCCCAGGGCATCCAATAGGAAGTGGCTATTTAGGTATTATCAGTTCCTACTGCTTCCTGCACTGCTGCCTTTTCTTGCTAAAGAATTGCAGCCAAGTGGACAGAAAACCCAAGTAAATCCTGACCTAGAAGAGGAAATGTCCCTGGTCCTGGAGTATGAGCAGCTGAAGTTAAGCCTTAAAATCTTGAGACTCTTGGAGTTCTGCCTGTTTCTTGCATGTCCTGATCTGTGAACCTGTAGCCTCAACTCTCTTGGTACTTTCTGGTCCTGAAGTTTCCCTCTTGTTTTGCAGCCCCAGTTAGAAGCACGTGTGAGAGACATTGCCATAGCAACAAGAAACACAAAAAAGAACAAAAGCCTCTACAGGAATATCCTCATGTATGGTCCCCCTGGCACTGGGAAGACTCTTTTTGCCAAGGTAAAACCCTGCCAAGGTTCTCACAACCTGCATGTTGCAAGGTGCTCTGAAACCTCAGGGTCTGAGCAGCCTCCCTGGGCTGAAATCTGTTGCTGGAGTGTTGCATAAACACTGTGTTCTTGTGTCTCTGTTGGGATGGGAGGAAAGGGCAGCCAGGCTGCTCCAGCTCTAAATTAGTGCAGTCACTTGGATGCAGTGCAGAGTGTGGGCAGAACAGCCTTTCCATCTGGAAAAGGCACTTGGCAACTGTGGAGAGTCACAACAGCACCACCTCATATCCACCTCAGCTGATTGTAGGCACTTGTCTAAATAGGCCTTTGCTGCTGTTGCTGACAATCCCAGAGCAGACAGACATGGCTTCACTGTGCATATGCACTGCCAGGATGGTTTTCACATGGATCTGAGTCAGAATTTGATGTTTTTCCTTGCTCTTCAAGTGCTTGGCCACTAGATCTGAGGTTTCATAAATGTAACCGTGGCTGATTTGATGTGCTGGTGCAAGTTGAATTTCTTTTCCTCTATCAGTACATTAACCCCCTATCCCAATAGTTTTCTGATAATGCCACCTAGCTCAGGAGAGATGGATAGAAATGCAAGAAATAACCAATACACAAGTTGAAGGTCTGAGCACTCTCAGCAGTGCCTTTTAGCATGAAAATGTGCATTGCCACAAGACCAAACTTCCACCTTTCATTCCCATTCAGATCTTGATCTTTAAGGTCCATTCCAACCCCTCAACATTCTTCTGTGAAAATAAGAGAGCAATGCTAAAAGTTGCCCCTAAGTACCTAAATATTTCCTTCTCTAAGACCAACTTAACCTCTGCAAATAAGCACACTGATAGGAGTAAAGTACTTTTATTTTCCTCCGTGGCCTTGCAGAGACACAAAGTGCTTAACTCCCTGGTTTTGTTCCCTTGCAGAAATTAGCTGTGCACTCAGGCATGGACTATGCCATCATGACAGGAGGGGACGTGGCCCCCATGGGCCGGGAAGGGGTCACAGCCATGCACAAACTCTTTGACTGGGCCAACACCAGTAGGAGAGGGTAAGTAGAGGTTCCTCTGGGTCCTGAGTTTGGTGTCTTGCTCAGAAAAGCTCCCCACAAGGATATAACTCAGCCTCCTAATCTCTGGTGGTGAACAGATGAGCTGACACTGACCAAGCATAACTCCTAAAGTTTTCCTAGAATAGGTGAATTTTTGCTGACTGTAACGTTTAAAAGGCTGAAAGCTTTTGCTCTTCTGTTCACTCAGACCCTTCTCTTTTTTTACCTTGGATTTTCCAGATCAGCCACTACTTGTTTGTGTGCTGATCTCAGCAGGCAGGAGCAGAGATATTGGTCACATACAACCCACATACATCAATGTGTCCCACAGGCTGGAACACATTTCTTTCAGTGATTAGCTTTTCTGACAGTAGTTAGAAGATTGAGCACAAATGATGGTGCAACCAAGTGTTTACACTCTGGATATTACATTCCCTGTTGCAACTGCTCAGACTTGAAACACTGGGAGTGTTTGGATCCAGCTTCTTTACTTCTGAGTCTCAGGCAGGAATAGTGAAGGACAACAAATAAAAGAGGCTAAGGAGGAGACAGATGCTGAAAACATTTGCATTGGTTAGGTGTAAAAGCCATGAGCTGTTGTGCTTTTTCAGTCACCTTTCAAAACAAACTTTTATCTGCAGAGAAGCATTTCTGGTAAGGCTCAGTCTTGGCTCCCTGGTTTTGTAAGAGCATGGAGTTGATTTGCTCACACTAATGTAAATGGATTTTTGCAGTGCAGAGGTAGCTAAGAAGTTGCTTGTCCAGACAGGATGTTAAAATTCAATCTAGAACTTGCAGTGAGTGTCAGTTTGGGTTTTGTGCTGTTTTGATCTCAGATCCTCTGTAAATGTGGCCAACTGGTGATTTATGTGTTCTCTGATTGCTTGAGATGGACATTATCTTGCAGTGTCTGATTTAATCCTTGCTGCATTCATCACCTAAATGTTTCTATTTCCCCTTTAAAAAAAAAAGGCAGAGAAATGTCCTAAGGATTTAAATTTTTTACGCTTCTCCTACCCTGAGGAGACGGAGAGGGAAAGTGTAAGAATTTAAGTGAGCTTAGAAATAGAAGTTGGAAGAGAGATGAGGATGCTCAGCTGGATGAAGACAGCTGGATGCTTCCACGTAAGAATTCTCTCACTGCCTGGTTCTGAATCTCTCTGTCCTGATTAAAAACTTGTCTGCATTTGAACTTCCTACGCTTCAAGTAGTCACCTAAGTCCTGATCAAAGGTTTCCCCTGTCCATACACATCAATATTTTCACCTCCAGCAGCATTGAACTATTTCAGCAGATCTGATTCTGAAGATCCACCAATGTTAGCTCTTAGTAGTGTTGCCTTTATTAGCTTTATTAGCTGAGAGCTGTTGTGATCAAAGACACTTCTCTACAGAGACTCGAGCTGTGAGTGTTTTCAGGTATTTTTTTTTACTCATGGCTGAGTAAAAGATGTTAATAGGCCCTGAAATCCCCTGGAAAAAAAGCTATGTTTGAAGCTAGGCAAGGAGGTAATACAAGCTCTGACAGCTTTATGAGCAACTTGGTTCTGTTATTGATAAACATCTTTATAGGCTTTGTCTCTTGGGAAAAGCACTAGCCTTGGGTTAGGAGTGAATTTATTTCTGTGAATAATTCATGGCCTTTATTAATTCACTTCTCCACAGGTAGTAAAACCATTGCATTAGTGCTAGTGTGGTTTGGAAAAGAAAAAGGCCACAAAATAACAAAGCAAGTTGAGGGGAGGACTTTGGTTTGAGGTTTACAAGGAAGAAGAATGGCAGGAAGATGCCATTGTCATCCAGTTTCTCCTTTGCTTGGGTCTCTGCCTTGTAGCCTTGCTCTTCTAGGCAGGAGGGAATGCTGAAATAAGCTTTAGCAGCTCTAAATTTCAGGCCTGCTGCAGCTTGGCAGTGACTTCCCAACCTCTGCCCATGAAACCTCCCATCTAGATTTAAAAATCAGCTTGTGTGCCCTAGAATTGCTTCAGTCTGCTCTGAACAGCAGCCTGGGGAGCAGATTGATGGCCTAGGGTGCCTTCAGCTAACACCTCTCAACTGCTGGGGTGTGCCAGGGGCACAGAGTGGAAAGGTTCCTGCAGCTCAGCTGAGAAATGCTGCCTGAAGAGATGAGTTTGCTTGTGCAATCCTTTGGGTGTACACCTGGTCCCAGCTCTGGGGGCCAGGTAATGGGACAGGAGGGTCCTTGAGCCATTTGAGCCTCACTTACCTGTGTCCTGTTACTGTGTAGTGCTTTCCTTTTGCAGCCTCTTGCTGTTTGTGGATGAAGCAGATGCATTTCTGAGGAAAAGGGCAACAGTAAGTGCTCTCTGTGTGTCTGTCTGTGCATGCTGCAGAGTCCCTCAGCCCACAGCCTTGGTTATTCTGGTTAACTGGCTCCAACAGGCTGAAGATGAAAGCTGGCAGGTGCCTCACTGCTCACCTCATTAAGTGATGCAGAGACAAGAAATCAGCATCTTGCAGCTGAATGGAATGAGCATCTCCAGAGTGACTTGAGAAATTCCTCCCTCAGCCTGAGGGGTGACATAATCTTTATGGAGGTTTTGCAGTAGGAAGGAAAGAGGCACATCTTGAAAACAAGAGAAGGATGTTCACACTGCAGAGCTGGTACCCTGCAGGGTTAGTGTTTTGTCCTAACTGATAATTTTCTTAGGAGGTTTTCACTCCATTGTCAAAGTTACACTCACTTTTTCCCCTGTACAAGTGGCAGTTTAATGGTTGGACTTGGTGATCTTGGAGGTCTCCTCCAACCTTTATGATTCTATGTGATTTGTGTTTTCCATCACCACATTGTGCACTGAATCTGGACCTGCTGCTTGAACCCCAATGATCTCTTTAAAGAGCTCTCCTACAAGATAGCTTTGGATATCTAAGTCAATTCTTTGCTGTGGCTTATTTTCCTGTAAATATCTTGCTGGACTTCCCAGCTAAAATAGTGTTTAGCCCAGGAAAAAACACCTAGGCCAATGACTAGAGCCTGGAGTGTGAGTCAAGAGAATCACTGGGTAACTGTGGGTAAATGTGTCATCTCTGCTGGAAGCTTGAATTCCTAACCTTTTTCCTGGATGTGTCAATTAATCCTTTTTTCCCAAGATATTACAGTGCTTTGGACTCTAATGCAGGTGCTTGGCAATAACAGAACTCCCTTAGTGTCCATAAATGCTTAAAGCTGTGACCTGTCTGCAGGCTCCAAGCAGCTGATCTTCCTTTGCATTTCATCTTTGCAGGAGAAAATCAGTGAAGACCTCAGAGCAACTTTAAATGCATTTCTGCACAGAACAGGGCAGCACAGCAACAAGTGAGTATCCACTTCCAGCCCTTCCAGCAGCTGAGATTTCCCTGGATTGAGGGAAGTCTGTGGTGCAGAAATGAAAGTTGGAAATGATCTGTGCTACTGAGGGCTTGAAAAATCCTTTTATGTACTGAATGTAGCTTGTTCCTCCTTCATCTATCCCTGGCACCTGGAAATCAGAACTGTAGGAAAATTGTTTCCTGAACCTGAGATGGTATTTTAACATTTTGTTTGTCTTGATGAGTATGTTTTCTTGCTAGCTAAGTTACTGCTGTTTATACAAGAACAGTAGTGGGCCCATGAAATTCCCTGTTGTCCAGGGTTGATCCTGGCTGGATGCTTCAGGATCTCTTCAGAAATGCTTCAGTGGCTGCTTGTTGGAGCTGCTGTTCCTCTCCAGTGCTTTGGTGACCTCTTTCCATCCTGTGCATGTGTGTGCAGGAGCTCTGAGGCAAAGGAGTTCAAATGTGACTCGTTTCTCTTGCCTGAGCTGCTCAGCACATCTGTGTGCAGTGTTGCACATCAGTGTAGGACTCAGAGCTGTTTCCTTCCTGGCTGCTCTCACATGTGCTGAGCACATGATTGCAGGGCTGAGCTGACAGATGTCTCTGTGTGTGTGTCACTGTCACTGTCCATCCATCCATGCTCTCTGTGTCACATTGATGTGAATTTCCTGCACAGCACTGCTGAGTTCCACAAAACCCATTTCCTGGCTATCATAATAGAGAGATGACCTTTCCTCCACCTTTTTCAACTTAATACTGGCTCTTTTTGTGTGTGTCTGAACTTTACTTAGTTGTTAAACTTCTCTTTTTACAATTGAGGCAGCAAGAAAAGTTGTCTCTGTTTTTATGTGGAAAGGTGAGTTTCTCATGATGAACTTGCTCTCTTAGCAAGGCTGGAATAGTTAGTGTTAGAGTAACCTCATGACATTGAAAGAAACATTCTGGCAGGTCATTCAGGATAAAAGCAGAGAATTTCCTGCCCTTGGGGTCTCTTGAACTTGTTAAAACCAATGCAGCTCTGACTGTTAATTGCTTGTGTGTAGCTTCTCTGTACCATTCTCTGCCACAGTGAGGTGCCTGAGAAGATGTGCCTTTCCCAAAGGACTAAATTACTAGAAAACAAGATGTTGAGCCTGCAAGAACCTTGCAAGATGCTTGGTTTTCCTTTTGGGAGGATAATGAGTATCTCCTGAAATGATACATAGAATTGCTATAAAGCTGAGTATAATTATTGTGACATGATGTTGGACTTGCTGTTTGCAAGAATAAGTGCAATAAATATTTGTACTGCAAACCAGAGGGTGGCAGGGGGGTGATTTTTTTCCTTCCCCTGGTGTTAAACTGCTTCAGCAGAGCTCTGGCTGTGCCTGTTGGGTGCTGAGGGTGCTCTGCCTCCTCTCACAACAGCCATTTGGGCAGATGTTGACTTTAGGCCTGATTTATACTAGAAGACTGAACATGCCCTTGTGATTCATGCACAGCTTTTCACTTGTGAGCAGTCTTATTGCTGCTGTGGGCAAAGAGGAGTCCTGCATCCATGAATGGGAATTCACTTGGATCAAGCTAATGGTGCATGTAAATGGAGCTGCTTTGGTGAGACCCTGAGGAGAGCTCTTACTTCAGCACAGAGTTGGCACCAGCATAACTAAGGGTTGTGAATTGTTGGCTTAAACTTCCCCTGTGGTTTAGGAGTTCCAGCAGTGAGAGGTTAATGGTTGGACTAGATGATCTTAGAGGTCTCCTCCAACTTTGATGATTCTATGGTTGTCTCGACAGCGATGAGCAAGGCCTGGATGTCACATTGTATGTCAATTCTTTAGCCAGGCTGTTTCTTCAGGGCTTTGGGTGAAGTCCTTATTGGTAGCAAAGCCACAGTTTCATGCCTCTGTGGCCCTTGGGTTGGCAAAGTTCACTTCAGAGATGCCAGCAGAGAGCACAGCCCCTTGTAGAGTGTGATTCAACCAGACTGCAGGAACATCGATATTCCAATAGCTGTGCTTAAAAGCCCATTTCAAATTATTATGCACTGTTAAGCTGGTAACATCAATTAAAGCATTAAAGTATTGGCACAGGGAAGAAGCATCATTACAAAGCACAAAAAAAAAAAAGAAAGGGTTTCTGGCTTCAAAATGCTGCAGGAGAGAGTAGGAGCTGAAGGCTCCTGTACATCTGTACTGTGGAGCAAAGCTTGGTGAGACAAAGCACTTTGGTTATATGCTCCTTCTGAACTTGGGGCTGTTTAGCCTGGAGAAGAGAAGGTTGTGTGGAGACCTCAGAGCAACCTGCCAGGAGCTGAAGGGGCTCCAGGGAAGCTGCAAAGGGACTCTGTATTAGGAGCTGCAGGGACAGGACAAGGAGGAATGGGGAGAAATTGAAAGGGGGCAATTTAGGTTAGATATTAGGAAGGAATTTTCCCTGTGAGGGTGGTGAGACACTGGCACAGGTTGCCCAGGGAGGCTGTGGCTGCCCCCGCCCTGGCAATGTTCATTCCAGGTTGGATCAAGCCTTGAGCAACCTGCTCTGGGGGGAGGTGTCCCTGCCCAGGGCAGGGGGTTGGGGCTGGATGATCTCTAAGCTTCATTCCAACCCCTTTACATACTATGATAATGTCTCTTTCTGCACACATCAGCTTGCTCTGAATAGCCCAGGCAGCACTGCATTTCAGCACACAGAGCTTGAGGTGTGTTATAAAGCTGTTTCTAAGCAATCTCCAGCCCTGTCAGGTGATGAAATGTCTCCTATACCAACCATGGCAGTTCGTGATGTTCACACGAGTTCATTGATTTTTATTTTCATGGGATTTTCAGCCTTTCCTCTCTTGTTTCATCATTGCAGGTTTATGCTTGTTTTAGCAAGCAACCAGCCTGAGCAGTTTGATTGGGCCATCAATGACAGGATAGATGAGATGGTGAACTTTGATCTGCCCCAGCTGGAGGAACGTGAGCGACTCGTCAGGATGTACTTCGACCGGCACGTGTTGAAGCCAGCCACAGAGGGCAAACAGTGAGTGCTCCTGCCCTGCTTACACCTAGGGAAGTACCATAGAATCATGCAATGGGAAGGCCTTGGAAGGTCCAAGGACCATTAAAAGATATTTGGTCTTAAAAGAGTCATTCAAGATCTAGTCCAAACCCCATGCCGTGGGCAGGGACACCTCCCACCAGACCAGGTTGCTCCCAGCCCCATCTGACCTGATCTAGTGGCATTTCCTGGATTTAGCAGTAATTTGGGCTGTCTTGCCAAGTAGATTCCAGTAATCCAAATCAAACTCCTCTGGAAGTTCACACTTGGATGAAGTGCATGGTCAGCTGTTTGATGACATAGTCAGACATGCCTCATCTTCAGTGTCATCTTGTCATGATCAGGCTTTAGCCAAGCTGCCTTTGAGCACTGCCAGGGTTGGGGCAGCCACAGCCTCCCTGGGCAACCTGTGCCAGGGTCTCACCACCCTCACAGGGAAAAACTTCTGCCTAATATCTAACCTAAATTTCCCCTGTCAATTTATCCCCGTTACTCCTTGTCCTGTCACTACAATTCTAACAGAGAGTCCTTCTCCAGCTTCCCTGTAGCTCCTTCAGATACTGGAAGGAATTATCTTTTACTATTTTTCTTCATCTCCTTTTGAGTGTGTTCTGTCACAGTCTCTAAACCCACTTTGAACAAGTAGCACCGATAGGAGTTGGAGAGATTCCTCTCACTGTCCCATTGGGGGAGGAGATGCCATCCTAGAATTTCCTGGGCTCTTGTGCCTTTAAAATTGAGGAGGCAGTTGCTGTACTGGAGGCACTAACACAAGTAGGAGCAGTGCTGGAGCTCCTGTGATGTCAACTAACCCTGGTGGTTCTGCGTTTCAGGAGGTTGAAGTTGGCCCAGTTTGACTATGGGAAGAAGTGCTCGGAGATCGCCAGGTTGACCGAGGGCATGTCTGGCAGGGAGATCTCCCAGCTTGCTGTGGCATGGCAGGTCAGTGGGGCTTTGTCACTGGGCTGCTTGGTTCCTTTCCCCTTCTGGAATGTTTGAGGGTTGGGTGTTGGAGCCTCAGATCTTGTTTTGCTTTGGAAGCTTCTGCACATCCCTATGGTAGTGCCAAAATGCTGCTGGCTCTGGAGGGGTGTTGGGATATCAGCACAGCTCCTCAGAAATAGGAACAGTTGTGATAGTCAGAGAATCATTAAGGTTGGAAAAGACCACCAAGATCATCGAGCCCATCCCTGATGGAAAAATCTCTTACTGAATTCAAGAAAACAGGTGAGTTTGGAATGGGTTTGGGCAAATCCTGCTGGCTGTGACTTGTGGTCCAGCTCAAGAAACTCAGCAGATGTCTGATGTTGACAGCATTAGGGCACTAAACCATCCTCCTTTCCTGTTCTAAACACACTTTTAGTGCAGCTTGACTAATTGAAGGAACAAAATCAGCTGGAAAATGGAGCTGGAAAAGCTGGGTGGTACTTCCATGCATGGTACCTATGTAGAGCAAGAGATGCAGTCATTGGTGGTGTAATTACTCACATGTTTAATAAGCTTAAGCATTTTTAAAATCAGGCTTTCACCTTGTTTTGTCACAGCTGCCAGTTTCCTGCTGGATTGTGCATTTTCCTAAAGTGTCCTAGAAATCCCAGTGTAAGGAATATGCTCCAAATCGTGTGTCATGTAACTCTCTCATGTCACCTTCCTTTCAGGTCGTGTAAAAACAAAGTGGCTTTTTGGTTAGCTTTTCAATTTTTAATGTCGTTTAGCAGTTCACAAACATTTCATGTGCATTTCATTCTTCCTCCTACTGTTTTTCTACCTTTAAGGTACAGAAAACATTTATCCTTTCTAATCTAAATTAATTTCAACTGCAGCAGTCATGAGCTGAGGTCCAAAGGAGCCATTTGAGTGCTGTTAGGCCTTATTTTACTATTTGGTAACTCACAGCTGGTTAATTTTACCCCATGAATTTTGTGTTATTGAAGCAAATATGTGCTGTCATCTGCCCCATGGATGCTTAAGGCTTTGCTGTTAGCTCTTGCCTGTAATAAAAAGTTGTGATAAATGATCCTGTGCTTTTTATCACCCTTTATCTCTGAGCTTGTATTCCTCCCTTGGAATGACCTCAGCTTTTATCATTTCTCCTTTAAGTCATCATGAAGGAAGGGAAGGGTGGGGGTGACTAATTCCTGGGTGTTGTTGCCCTGAGAGCTTTTTAAGATGTACCTCCTAGTGTCAGGACTATTAACAAGGTTCTATATAAAATTGCAGCAGGAAGTTCTGTTCCTCTCTGCTGTCAAAGGGCTTAAAAAAGCACCATTCAGGAAAGGGTGGGCAAAAAATGTATGAATTGGTTTGATGTGGAAGCTGCAAGAAGCTTCATCTGTGTCAAAATCAGAGTTGGTGGTGTGGAACAAGGGACCTTATGTCTTGTTGGCCAAGAAAGGAGGTGTGAGGGGTGGTGTGTCAGTGCTAACACAGCTTGTTGCAGCTGCTGACTGGTCATGTGGACTTGTTTCCTCAGGGATGACTGGGTGGATGCTGCCCACTCCCAGATTCCAGAATGAGATTTGACTTGACCAGGGCCTTGGGAACTGGCTGCCAGGGCTGTTGATCTTGAGTGCTACTGTAGGTTGTATTTCAGTCACTGTGTCAAGGAATTTGGAGCTGTAACCAACTGGAGCTGTACAGAAGCTGTTGTTTGTGTCAGCCTGTTGTGACCTTGGACTGTGGCTAGAGGTGTCCCCACCTGCCTCTGGTTTTGCCTGTGTAAAGCATTAAGGTGTGGCCCTTCAGTAGATGTGGTGAAAAGCCTCTCGAAGGTCCTTCCAGTACTCTTAACCCCAGTTGATCTCAGTGGTGTTGGTATTTGGGGCCTGGGTTAGCAGCCCCAGGTCACTTGTTGTGGCTCTCTCTGTAGCTGGTACAGTGCTCTGAGCTCTCAGGGAAGGATTGGGGCTGACAGGCATTTCTGGCAGTGTTGGTCCTGCCTCCTCTTCCTGCTCCCTGCTCTCCTCCCCATTGTGCTGGTACACCCCAGTGTGTGGCTGTGCTCTGAACTGGGTCAGGGAGCTGATCAGAGTTAAAAATAGCTATTGGCAAGCCAAGTTAACTGCATAGCTGCACTGCTCTGGCACAGCTGAGGGAGGGGATCAGGGCAGGTAGGGGCTGCAGGAACCAGAATAACCTACTCAAAAATGCTTATCCTCCTTCCCTCAGCTGGCTGGAGCAGCTGCAGAGTGGGTATGTGCTGCAGATAGACTGTTAACTCTTGAGCTCTTGGTCTTCTAATTAGCATTAGATTCAAGGTGCTGCATGCCAGAGGTGGCTGATGTGGGGAATAATCAGGTCACAGAATATCCTGAGCTGGAAGGGACCCACAAGGATCATCCAGTCCAACTCCTGGCCCTGCACAGGACACCCCAACAATCCACCATGTGCCTGATGGGATCAGCACCTTTCTGAGTGCACACTGGAGTTGTAGTCGTTGACACAGGAAGGTGTTTCTCATGGACCTAGTGGAGTTTGGAGATGATGGGATCCTCCTCAGCTCTGCTTGGCTCATCCTCCTGACCAGAACTGCATCCCAGAGATGGTGTGGGGTGAAGTTCTGAAGCAGCTAGAGGAGAAAGTACCCTAGGAGTAACCTACAATAGCAGCAAATGGCCACTCTGCTGTCCTGTAGCCTTGCAGGCAGTTCCCCTGAAGATGCTTTTGGATTCTTATTGCCTTCAACAAAAGCATCTCAGTGAGACTGAGCAATAGCTACAGCTTTCATAAACTTAATTCCACCACAAGCTGGGCTGGTTGGCTGTCATTTCCATGGAGTTCACTGTTGTTTCAGTCTGGCTCAGTTTGTCCTGAATTTACCAACAAAAAAAAAACCTCAGATGCAGAAGAGCAGAGAGTGTAACCTCTAGCACTGGGAGAAATATTGCTGTCTGGCACAGCTAATAGTCTGCGTGCTAGAAATCCATTTTCATCTCTTCTGCAGAAGACTGAGCATTCCCCTTTGTCCTTGTGCTTTTCCATTCCCCATGTCTGATCCTTGGTGACTCCTAGCATGGATCAGATGCATTTCCACACTTAACAATTCCCTTCAGGTGTGTTTATAGTCACGTGCAGATTCCCTAGGTGTGCACCTGTGCTTAAACCCTTCGATGTGCTGTAGGTAAAATGTCAAAAAACCCAACAACCTTTCACTATTCCAAGCTGTAATCTTGGAAAATTGTTTTGGCAACACTTCAGGAGAATTCCCAGGAGTTTTATGTCCCAGTGTGTCATTTCTTTGCCTTTTATCCCACTGACATAAATGCATTTTTGCTCCCTGAACCTTGTTTATGTGTTAAAAATAGTGCTTGTATTTTTGGGTTGGTTTTTTTTTTTTTTTTCCTTGAGCAGGCTATTTTCATTAGAAATGTGACTCAAAGGATACAGATTAGTCTGGCCAGGTTAAAATAAACCACGATTCTTGGCTGAAATGAAACATGAGGTCATCTAGGCTGGACTTGTCATCTGTTCCATCCCTCTCCTTCCCCACCAAACACTTAACTTTCAGCTTATTTCATCTTTGGACCTGAGTGATGAAACAGGAATAGCTGCACTGGAGAAAATGGGTTAAAATTTGTCCATGCAGGAGGCAGAGGTATGAATACAAATGAAGCTTGGTACCATTTTTGTGTGTGTGAGCTACTCCCAGAAGGGGCAGCTGCTTCTCCCATTTGCTTTCTTGACAGCAAAGGCCTAAGGCTTTCTATAAATAGAAAGTCATTGAGAAAATCAACAGAGCGTGAACTGCACAGCTTTGCAGGAGGTTCCACACTGGGATGGATGGATGGGCTGTGCTGTGGCAGGGAGGAGGGGCAGGAACACATCCTCTCTCTCCCAGAAAAGCACTTTCTCCATCCTCAAACACCCAACCCTCTGGGCTGGAGGCTGCAGTGACAGTCCAGCACGTCAAGGGGGTGAGTTGGGATAGCTCAGCTGAACAGAACCTTTCCACCATGCCCCTTCTGCAGGGTGAGAGGAGACAGGTTGGGCTGTGAGAGGTGTTGTGTAAATATTTGGCAGCTTGTGGAAGCAGAGCTGTTCTCCTGGTGCCTGTGGAAGTGCAGCCTGGCTGTGTGGAGGATGCTCCAGCTCTGTCTGTGAAGGCAGAGGGCAAGTGCCTTTATGCAGAGTGAATTCTCTGTTTGCAGACCTTCTCCTTCCCTCTGGCCACTGTTTACTCCTAACCTTAAGCAGGAGCATTAACCTAACTTGTCACTGGTGCCTGAAGGAAGGATTGCAGAAGGATCTGTGCAAAGGATTTGATGCTTCTTGCAGTAAAAACTAGCACCTGCCAGCTCTGGGGTTTGTGCAGTAAGACCTTTTGTGATCAAACCAGTTTCCCAAAAAGGGATGGAAAGTAGGTTGGAGGAGGCTGAAAACCAACCTGGGGAACCTTTTGCTCATTTCTTGGAGTAATTATTCCTCCTGCAGTGAGGCAGCACTAATCTAACAGGTCTAATTTGCAGTATTGTGGTGATACCAGTGCAACAGCTTACCCTGGGGGTTGTCTTCTCCCCCATCAGCATCACTGGACACAGAATGGTCACACTAGGATTTCTTTCTGTGGTGCTTTTGCAGTAAACCTCATTGCTTGGTATAATGGATGTTTTGCACCATTAATGTTTTATGTATGTAATCCCTCAGTCTGTCCTGAAAGCCAAAGCTGCCTGAGATCCTGGAGAATGCCCTGCAGACAGGAGAGTTGGCATGTCCCAATGCAGGATGTGCCAGCTCTGTGGAACAGAAGTTTGGAGCTGTGTGGGGCAGGCAGAGTGGGGGTGAGAAGCTGGAGGGGTCCCATCCTGCCTAGTGCCAAGCTCCCTCACTCCATAGCTGTGCAGGGAGCAGAGCTGGGAGTTGCTGCAGGAGCACTTGCAGAGGGAGGAACCAGATTTAGAAATCTGCAGCCTGGGAGTTGCTGTGTTACCTTGGAGATGGGTGCAGCTACCAGCCAACATCTTCCTGGGGGGACTGGCTGCTCTCAGCTGCAGGATGGAGCTGGTGGTTTCCAGCTGTCCTGCACAGAGCTGAAAGGGCTCACAGCCCTGTCTGCCCTGTGGGCTGTTTGACAGGGATGGCAGGAGTTTGCAGTCCTTTCTGCAAGGAGCTGTGGTCAGGTTTGTGCTGTAGGACCAAGTGTTTCCCAGGCAGAACTGGAGGGACAGGAGTTGGGGTGTGAATGGAGAGGGGAAAAAGAGGAAGGTTTCATGGGCTGATGAGTATGGAGTGGGAGCTGAGACAGCACAGAGGTGATGCAAGGCAGAACACATGAGCAAAGCTGGATCAGTGCACATTAGGCATCAATTTAGAGGTGCCACATGTTCACCCCAACACTGATGTTCGTTCCCTGCAAGTGTTGCAAAAACTTTGTGTTGTCTTGGCTGGAGCCATTCCCTTCTGGGCCTCACATGTGCAGTGCTTTGAAAGCAGGAGAGGAGACTTCAATGAACCAGCCTGACCACACTGGGACCTCGTGGGAATGCAAAGCTTCTTCCTACCAGGAAAACCAGAGGTGGTCAAAGCTGTCTGTTAGCAGTTACTGCTCTGGGTGCCACCACTGCCCTAGGACAAGACTGGGGGTTGTGCTGGCTAGTGTGGGGACATGGAGAGGAGAACAGGAGGGAGGGATGGATCTCAGTTGTCCACAGATCCCAGGAATTGCCATGACTAACCATCCCCTGTGCCCTTGGCTCTGCAGGCAGCAGCATATGCCTCTGAGGATGGTGTTCTCACCGAGGCCATGATCGACGCCCGCGTGGCTGACGCTGTGCAGCAGCACAAGCAGAAGATGGAATGGCTGAAAACAGAAGGTGCTGAAGCAACCAAAGGGACTGACAGGGACCCTCTCCTGCCTTTCCCCAAAGGGACACCAGTGTGAGAAGTCTGCAGGCTTCAGAGCAGTGTGTGTGGGGCCGAGGGCCTGGGAGGGTCTGCAGGCAAACGCCTGGTGGAGGTTTGTGCTGAGAGAAGTATGGCCATGGGTGCAAGGGAGGGGGTGCTGCCCTCAGTCTGCCTTGGAGCTCCTGTTTTTAACTGCACCAGAAAACAAAATGGTTTAAATAAGGCAGAAGCAACTGAATTAAAGGACTCCCTTGCTGAAATACCACTGACTGTTGGTCTCTGTGGCTTGTCCTGCTCCAGAGGCCCAAACTCCAAATCCTTTTCAGATAGTTCATGTTTCTGGAGTGTCCCAGTGACAGAGCTGTGTTGACCCAGGGCCTGTCCAAGCCTGGCACTCCCATATATTTAACTTTGTAGTGTTTATGTCCAGCAGAGGTATTTCTCCCCTTTTTCCCCAGATCCACAACATCACTCTTTGCTCACATCTCTCTATGGTATCACTCCTTGCTCTCTGGTGTTGCCCTTCACAGATTCAGACTTTGTGTCACAGAGGTGGATTTGGTGTGGTTCCCCTGCTTGACTTGGAGTCAACACAGGTCATCTGAGAGCAGCCCTGTGTACTTTTTGCCCCAGGTCCATCATCTGTGTCTTTAAGGTGAGCAGTGACTCTATCTGGCACACAGGTGTCCAGCACAGGTTGAAGAGAGAGATGAGTGGAGCTTGCTTGCTCCCACTGCTGCCATCAAGCTGCTCTTGCAACGTGAGTCTTCTCATTTCTGGAGCAGCTGAGGAATTGCCATTGTCAAGTCCTGAACATGAGCCTGTCTTGATGAGCTGACATTTGTTCTGCCTCTCTGCGTATAAGAGACAGGTCAGAAAATCTCCTGATTTTTGTGAGTTTGAACTGGATTTGAACTCTGTGCTCTGCTCTGAGGCCTGTTCTGTAACCACACGGTGCAAACACACTTGCCTGACCTAAATCTGTGCCCTTGAGTACCTTGCTGAGCTGTTCTCCTCGGACAGGAACTGACAGCAGTCCCAGCTTTGTCCATTTTGCTGCTGGTTGGGGCTGAGCTCTGAGGGATGTACCCTGACAGGAGCTGGTGAGCACAGGAGCAGAACTGGGCAGATCACTGGAGTCCTGTGGAACCCCAGGCAGGAAACAGTTCCTGAGGCTGCAAACCTTCCTCTCACAACATCCTCTGATATTTCCCCCTGGATGCCAAGGAAGATGCACTTCAGAAGCTGCTCCTGTGGTGAGGTGAGGACCAGTTCCCCAGCAGCAGTGTGTGCCCACAGGGCTCACTAACACTTACCTGCTGCATTGCCATGGGGGAAGAGCAATCCCTGTACAAACTGAACATGCTTTATGTTCTCAATGCCTGAAGTCAACTTCAATCCCATTTTTCCCCCTCCCATTCAGCCCAGGTGTAGTTGTCCTTTAGTTTCCTGGAGGATTAGCTATTCCAGGCTTTCCCTTTCCTATTTAGCTTTTACTAAGATTCTATTTCTGTGAGGCCCCAAGAGATGGGAGCTCAGCAGAGCCACTCTGCTAAACCCCCTTGCTAATGAACTATGAGGGAGCAGCATGATACCATGTGATTAAAACCTCTAATTGTGCCACACACCTGCAATGCTTTCCCCTCTCTTCCCCAAGCATCTCCCTGGAGCACAGGAGAAGGGAAAGGTACTCTGGTTTGTCCTTCTACTGTCTGCCTGTGCTTCTGCTGATCCTGGTGGCTGGAATGCTGCTGTAGAGCTGTGTGAGAGGCACAGCAACTGCTGGCTCAGCTGTTCCACGAGATTCCTCCTTCAGATTGCATCAGGTCCCTGCATGGAAGCAGAGGGAGCAGAGCTGGTGCTGCTCCTCTGCTCTGTGCTGTGCAGCAGGGATTGGCTACAGGTTCAGGGGCACAGTTAGCTCTCCATAACACTGAACTGGTCCTGTGTGTCTCAACCTCTCTTCACCCTCTAAGGAGCAGCTGGTCAGAGCTTTGCTCTCCATATGCTGCAAATCCCAGGAGTGCAGCACTTCAGGGCTCCCTCATTTTCTCCCTGTTCACAGTCTCCTGCACAGCCCCAACCTGGGAGCTTGTCCAGCATCTATATGGCTGAGATTTGCAGGGAGTTCTCCTCCTTTCCAGAGCTGTGTGTGGCTCTGGGCAGAGCTGGCATGGCCTCCCTTCCCCTTGGAGAGATCCCTATTAATACAAGGCCTGAAATCCATGATCCCTTCTGCCCTTGGCAGCAGGAGAAGGAATGTGTGCACCCAGGAGCATAATTTATCAGCCTGAATGATGGATGTCTTACATCCCACCTGTGCAGAAGAGAGGGAGGTGGCACCTAGGCTGGGAAAACTGAGGAGGTGGAGCAGAAAAAAACAGAGGTGAGCCTGATTGAAGAGGGATGAGGAGGCTCAGGGTGCTCCAGCTGGCAGGTAAGAAGGTAAGTGGCAGAGCTGCTGTGAACTTATTTTGCTTGAGTTCAATCTTCCAACCCAGTTGTTTCATCTCACTGCATTGACAGAATGGCACAGACTTCCACTTGGACACACTGATGATTTGTCCTTGTTGATACTTCATTTCCACAGGAAATAGTTCTCCATCCACTCCCTCAGCTACACACATCCTTCCTTCACACCATGGGCTGTTGGGCAGATGAAACCTCTCTCTTGATGCATCCCAGGCACTCAATCCTGCCTTTGGGAAAGGTTTCCCTGCCCCTCTTGCTGTGCACATCACTCCTAGCCACCAGCTAGGTGATTTCATGCCCTGCTGCTTGCTGAGCACCTGTGCCAGTGGCTGTCACTCTGGGAATGTGACAGGAAGGGGAGGAAAGGCTGCCTGTCACTGTTAACTGGGCCAAGATTTACATGCATGGCCCTGCCACCCCTGCCAGCCTCCCAGCCCAGGCTGACTGATGTCCCCGTGGAGGTGGCACCCAGCTATTTGTTCAAGCTCCATGCAGGGACAGGATGGCAACCCCAGGCAGAGGTGATCTCCTCTCCTGACACTTGAGTGAGTTATGAGCCAATAGCACTTTATTAAAATGGTATTTTGGATTGGAGAGCAGATGGGTTAGTAGGCCATCCATCACTGCCCACCTCGGCAGAACGTGTGCCTGGGCTTCAGCACTGCAGCTGGGAGCAGATTTACAGCATGGTCAGCTCCCCCTGCTCCCAGCTGCCATCCAGGGAAGGATTTCTTTTTGACTGTGACACCCTGGAAAGAAAGTGCCACTGTGGAAGCACAAGGGTGTGAGTGCTGCACACCCCCAGCAGTGCCTGTCCCACCTGCAGGGCTGCAGGAGAGGATCTCTGCCAGTTCTCTGCCAACCTGTGTTTGTGCTTTGATTGGAGACAAACCACTCAGAGTCTTTTACAATCCATTCTCTTGGGTGTTTGGGTTTTTCCTGCTGCTCTGTGCAGTGTCTGCCCCAAGCCTGAGACAGGCCCAGGTGTGCTCAGACCTGTAGAAAATATCTTCACACTCAGGGTCAGACTTGGTGTTTGTGTGGTCCTGTTCCAGGAAGGAGCAGACTGAGGGATGGTAAAGGACCATGGTGGCAGATTTCAGTACTGCTAGACTGGAAAATGATCCCACTTTTCCATCCCCATGCCCAAACCCTGAGTGTCCTGCACTTTTCCTACCTTTCTTGTTTGCCCTTGCAGGCAATGGGCACGAGAGGCCAAGGCTCCTCTCTGGTGATAGTTTGCATCCAGAACTTGATTTTTAACATTAAAATATTTATCTTCTTTTAAAGTCATTTTGGGACCTTGGAGCTTCCCTGTGTTCCCAGGGAGCAGGAGCCAAGCAGGTGAAAATCTGGGACAGTGGCCTATGATGTCACATAACCTGGGGGGGAATCACACAGCCTTTTTCTTCAAGGATCGGGACAGTTTTCCCCACACCTTTCCAACCATATTTCTTCTTCTTCCTCCTCCTCCTTTTAACCCTTGGTGAGCTGTTTTAACCCCCTGCCCAAAGCTGGTGAGCTGCTGGTCTGCAGTGCCCCCAGCCCCTTCCCCTGGGGGTACCATTGGGTTCAAAGGGTTGGAAAAAAACACTCAGATGCAAAACATGCAAAAAACTATTTTACTGACAAACAGCAAAGGATGGGCTTAGTTCCAGGAGCTGAACTGGTTATCTATTATACAAACATCTTATTGAAAGGGAAGGAATGGCTGAAATACACTCACTCATTGACCCAAATAAAATCACAGTGTGCTTTTTTTCTATTGCCTCCCCCACCCCGAGCTCTCTGTGCCTTCAGCTGCTCCCTGTAGCCTCAGCACAGATTGTCACCACTCTGGAGAGCACAAACCATAGGTGACATCTGCCTGTGCAAGTGTATTGAATTAAAAAAAAAATTAGCCATTATTGCTTTTCAACCACAGTAGAGATTATTCTGTGATTAGACTCGGAGCAGAGTATAATCTCTCTCTGGTGGTCTCACTGTGTGCTGTGCCTCTCCCTGCCTGGTGCATGCAAAACTGGTTTGGGTGCAGGAAACAGAAAAGAAGGATTCATAACCAGGGAAAACAGCACTCCAAGCTTTGTTCTTGTGTCCTCACTGCAGAGCACTAGTGAAAAAAAAAAAAATCTCCCTAAAGTGTGTGCTCTGTCCTGCAAGGGTTTCCCTTAGCTGGGGGTGCACTGAGCCACCCTCCTGGAGATCCCAGGGCTCAGCTCCCCCAGGGATGAAAACTAGCAACCCCTTTGGAAAAGAAATGAGTGCAAATGGGTGGGGGATCCTAAAGGAGGAACAGGCTTCATGCAGTGAACACATGGTGACACACACAGCCAGGGACACACAGAGCTGGGGCAGCAGCTCAGAGCCCAGACAGGGCAGCTCAGCTCCTCCCAACACTTCCCACAGCTTCCCACCCTTGTCTCCTTCTCTTTTGCCTCATCAGCCTACTTGCAGGGAGGTCCATGCTCTCCTGGGCACCCTGGTGAGCTGAGCTGAGAGGACACCTCATCTTCACTCCATCCTCAAGTAGAACCAACACTCCTTGTCCCTGCCCAGCAGCTAACACCTTCTCTGTCCCCTGCTCTACATCCCAGAGCCTCTCACTGAACACTGAGCTGTCCCATCTGTGCATCCAGCTTGGAAAACAACTGACCCAAATGTCTCCCTGTTTGTCCAACATGTTCTACTAGCAGAAGTACTTCTGTTCTTTCACATCTAGGAGGGTCTGTTGGTTGTTTCTACCCTCAGACCCCCCTGAATGCAGAGAAACTTCCATCACCTCCAGGATGAGCCACACTCCCCATCAGTGCCACACTGGATGTTAACCTGCTGCTGTGAAACTGTCTGGAAGTGAGAGCTGAGATGAGCCTGAGCTCCTTCTGCTCCTGAAAATCTCTACCTCGTACAGGGGAAGGTGGAGGGTGAACATTGCCCTCCCTTTTCACCAGGGCCTTCCTCCCAGGCTGGGGAATGGCCTTGAATCAGGACTTTCTCTTGCTTGGGCTCACCTAGACCTTATCCAAGGTAAGCAAAGGCTACTGATGTTTGTGTCTGCACTGTTTCAAGTACCAACTCTGGATCTCTCCAGCTCACCTGGCACCACTTCCCTTCCCCAGGCTGAGCAGTCCCAGCTCTCCCAGCCTTCCCTCATCAGAGAGATGCTCCAGTCCCTCAATCACCTTAGTGGCTGTTCTTAATAACCCTTTTTAGCAGGGATTCTCTTCTCTCAGCTGAGCACAACCAGAAAATGAGGTAGAATAGCAGTGAGAGTAACTAAACCCACCCCACTATGTGTGAGTGCCCAGGACACACATTCCAGGCTCTCTCCTGGTCTTTGTCTGTTTATGGATAGGTCCAACCAGATCCTTCAGCCAGGATGGCTCAAGGGCTAGCTGAGCACTAAGAGGGCAAGTGAGTGGATGGATGGATGGATGGATGGATGGATGGATGGATGGATGGATGGATGGAACCACAGGAGACACCTTCCCAAACTGTTCCTCAAAGAGGAAAGCTCCTTCTCATTGCTTATATGGGCAAGGGGTTAATTCAGCAGTGCTGGTATTAAGGACTAGATTTGGTTTAAAAAAGGAGCTACTGGTTGATGCAATGGATTTCTCCATCTCCTGCTTTTTCTCCACCTGCTTTTCCACACCTCTCCACAGCTCCCAACCACCAGCACACACCCCCTGGGTGTGCAGGCAGCCAGACCTGGGCTCCTCACACCACAAAAATGTGGGAGAACGTTTCCAGTGCCAATCCCAGCTCTGGAGAATTGGCACATACAGTTTTAAGCTCTGTCTCTGCTCTATAAATAGCCCCCAAAGTCCCCCCCCCAGGCATCAGAGCCTGCTGCAGCCTCCCTCGAAGCATCTGGCTGGTGAGTGCTGAGACAGAGCCCACACTTCCCACTCCTGTGTCCTGCAGCTCCCACTCCTGTGTCCCACAGAGCTGCCACCACAGCTGTGAGCTCTGCACCCCCATTTCCCTTCCCACAGGCTCTGACCAGCACCTCTTCCAGCCCTGACCTTGTGGTGTCACCTCCCTGAGCCACTGTGCTCCCAACTGAACCCTCCTTGCCTAGGGTTGTTGCTGGTTTGGGTGTTGTTGTTGTTGTTGTTTTCATCTGTGGTTGGGCTTTTGTTTGGTTTTTCTGTGTGTTTGAAGACTGGATCAGAGGCAAGAGAACAACAAACAAGTCAACACTAGTACATCTGGGACAATTAAACAAGGAGAAAACACCCCCATGACCAAAGAGAAGCGAAACAAACACATGCACAGGAGAACAGTGCGACGCAGACTAAGGACAACCGAGCTGACAGCAAGAGCAGAACCTCACTGGGACAGAGGGACAAGAGACCACACAGTCAGACAGTGCTGGTAAGGCTCACACCTGGAGCAGGAGCAGCTGAGGGCTGGGACAGGAGAGATGGAGCCAAGCAGAGGGAGCAGGGGCAGTGCTGGTGTTGGGGTTCTGCATCACCCCAAAGCTGCTGCCTTCACCTCCTTTCTCTGGGGTTTTGTCACCTCGTTCCCCAGAGAGGAGACACAGCACACATGTGGCTGTTGGGAACAGCTCTCACCCATCTTGTGGACACCACCAGGTTTGGTGGCCCATGGGACTTGGGCTGCTCCTGGGCAGGGGGTTCTGAGCTGTGTGAGAGGTTATCCAGCCCCACAACAGGCACATCCCAATCTCTGCTCCATGAGGTGACATTACAGTAGGGACCTCACACCAGGAATCTGCCCTGGTGCCCCTGCTCAGCTGTCTGAGACCAACCCTGCCCAGATGCACCAAGTCTCTTGGGTCAGGAATAGAATTCCCTCCCTGCACAGGAAGGAATTTTACTCCGTGTTTATTAAGGATGAGAATCAAAGGCTTTGTCAGTTCCTCAGGATTAACCCCATTGATTTAGTGTGTGCTGGGCCAAACCTGCTCTACAAGGTATGTCTGATTTCCTTGGATTAAAGACCAGGGAATTACTCCCAGTAAATTTAATGGCACTGAGAGTATTTGTTGGTTTATTTATTGAGCTCACATTCTTCTGAAATTTTGCTGTGGATCAGACAGATGAGACT